CGTAGAATGACTGAATCTATGAGTAACTGTTCTTTGCATCCCCTGTGATTTCTACGGCAACCTTTTTGTTGTTCTGTAAGAATGTCATGTTCTTCAACATGTTTGTATATTTTGTTTGTGATACAGGATGTCAATAATTTGTAGAGTGTTGGAAGACATGTAATTGGTCTGTATTGTGTGGGGTCTGTGGTGGTGTTGTTTTTAGGTTTCATGCAAGTGATGCCCTGAGTAAGAAATTTTGGCATGTCTTGTGAATTGATGATGATGTGTGTTAGATGTTTAGCTAGTTCCTGGTCAGTGATGTAAATTTTTTGTACCAGAAATTGTGAATGTTGGCTACACCAGGTGTCTTCCAGTTGTGTGTTCTGTTAACGGCATGGCGGATGTCATATACATTTATTTCAGCACAGGGCATAATTGGTATGTTATGCAAGTTTCTGTTCTCCTCCTCGATCCAGCCTGCATCAGCATTTATTATTATTATTATTATTGCTGTAAGATACGTCTACCAAAGTGTGTTTTTTTTTGGATTACAGAGACGGATTTACATTTGTAATATACCATACAGCAAACCATTTATATATTACTATTATTATTTTTTGCATTTTCCCTATTTTATTTCTTTAATATCAGCACAACTGTATTTTGAAATAGTTTCTTTTCCATTTACAAATAATAAAACTGTTACACAATGCTTAAAAACCTGAGTGCAAATAATACAAATTTTTTTGAGTAAATTTAAATATAGACACATAACCAAATTTAAATATAAACTTACAATATGTGACTCACAAATGAGAGTTTGCAGACATCATATCTGCAACACAAGTATTTCAATCAAATATCTAATAGTATTCAATAATGCAGAATTATTGCTAAGTCTAGTTATGCTCAATGCTAGACTCATTTCTAATCAGTTTCTGACTATCACTTCTAGAATTCTAAATAGTTCAGTTTGCATACAAAAAGTACAGTATTACAAAAAATTCTATTGTGTCATTATTGTAAGTACTACTCATTTTAAAATAGCTGTATGTTTTGTTATAAATAAATATAATTTTAGCATTGTTATAAAAAAATATGTTTACAATGAATGAAAAATCATTTTTCTCTCTTTCAACATTTTAAACATGATCTAATTTGCTGACCCAAGATGCCACTCAGATGTACTCAAAACAATTCTCAGTTAGTCAGTCAGGTTTGTTACCTAGTATTCTGTGTTACTACACATGGCTAAGACTGAAACTTTGTATATGACCCAATAATTGCACAACTTAAGTACTTTTTTTATTTTTTCTTCTAAACAATTAGCACTTTTACCTTTGCATAGCTGACCTGAAGAAAAGTGAAACTTAATGTAAAATTATCATGAGAGGCCTTCTGAAAAAAGTCAAGTTGATTTTCTTTTTTTTTGTTATAATCTGGGTAAATAGGGGCCCTGTGCCAGTACATCATTTCCACTGCTCTATTTTATAAATACAGTGGTACCTCAGGTTACGAACGCCCCAGCATACGAAATTTTCAGGATACGACATGAAATTCGAACATATTTTTGCTCCACGATACGAACAAAAACTCACNAAGAGGTCTATAAAGTTTTTTATAACTCACTCCAAGTTTTAAATAATCTTATTAGACAATTCTACTTAAACTTGTATGCTGATAAAGTTTTGTTAATTCACTCCATTCTATATTTTGACTCTTAATGATCTATTTATAAGCTGAATGTCAACTTTAGCATATAATAATTCTCTATAGTGAATAAAAACCAAGCAGCTGATTTTTGAACTCTCATTGGATATTGTAGAGTATATGCAACTTAGTAAAATCAACAACAATGATATTAATTACAATTATTTTATTTACTGCTTATTTACTTTTTTTACAGCTTTTTTGATAATTAAGATTAGTAACTCAATAATTATAATGCTAGTATGCTGTAATGTGTTTCAATTTTTACATTGTACATTGTTAAAATGCTAAAGTAATATTCATACATATTTTAAATTATTATTAAAAATTTCCAAATTCAGTAAATTCTTGCACTTTTTCTTCAACTATTAAAAATAAAATTGTTTTTTCTGAAAGCTAAAATTTAGTTAGTTTACAAGGAACATTTTTAGTCTTTCTTGGCCGACATCAGCTCATACATACAAATAGGATAAACAATAAAATTTGTGATGCATGCCTTAACTCAAAAGGAAGAAAACTCAGTTTTTTGGTGTTAAATAAGCAATATATTTAATAACTTTTAATAACTCAAGCATTTTTGATATTTCAAAATATCATCTTCAGGAACACTTCAAACAAATCAGAGTAGGTGAATTGAAACAAACATACTTAAAACTTGAAAATTTGTACAAAAATTTTACAATTAAAAAATGTTTTTATAATAAAATATAAGTAAATAAATAAAAAATATTAATACATATAAAAATTAAAAAATGCACTTGTGTGAATGAAAACAAAACCAACACCATAGTGAGTGGTGTGCCGAGAATGGCCTAGAGGGTCTAGACTAGTCCCCTAAATTCCTTGAAATGCCATCTGAATATTTTAAATGCATTTGTATTTGAAACCTTTCACTTGAAAAATATGTATTTTTTTTTGTGTATTTTTTCCCATCTGGCCTCCCCTCCTTTATGCTGAGTTCAACTTTTCCACAAACAAATCTGAACATCCCTCAAGGCTCCTTTAGTTGACTCGTTGACAGGACCAGCTTGCAGACATGTTCTTGTCATACTGTTATGTTTTGTGCACATCCAGGTGGTTTTGTAATAAAAGATTTTTAGTTTCCTGTGCTTACTGAAAACAACATTGCATTAGTAATTTTTGTATTTTTATTATCACAAAACATTTAAAAAGTTTTCATCTAAAGTGTGAATCTACTTAAAAGATGATATATGTGATTAGAAAGCTTTGAATTCACATGGAAGGGGATTTGTTAGAAGAAACAGGTCCCTTGCAGCAAAACATAATGCAGTTTGAATCTGTGAATGATGCGGCTGATCTAGGTGAATCATCACAGCAGACAATCAACAATATCCATGCTGTATTCTGAACTGCCTGCTTGAAACATCATCTGGAGCCTTATGTTTCCAAGAAATAAAGTTGTTTAACTTTTCTAACAGCATTTAAAACTGCATGTAGTGCCATCTGTTATGACATTTTATTTAAAAATTTTTTAATATTTTTAATTATTATAAAATGGCAGAAAGCTTAATTTTGAGGGTAGGGATGGTTTTATAAAAAATTGTAAATGCTAATAATGAGTAAAATTGTCATTAAGTCTGACCCTATTTGAGATATGACACATGACCCTCTTTATCTCCCACCTAGTCAACCTTTAATCACCAAAATTTAATGGCATCGTTTAAATATTTGTATTTGATTATATAT